GCGCGCGCCATCGACCCCGTTCCCTTCTTCGGTGACGGTCTCTTCGACAACTCCTTGGGCATGGACTGCTTCGATCAGTTCATCCACAACTACGAACCGTCGACGACTGTGGGCGGTAAGCCGCAGGACTTCTCGACCTTCCTTCCGGCAGCCCGTCGCACGTTGCCTCCCCTGGGAACGCTGGAGAGTGTAAACTCTATCGACAGCCTCTTCTCATCGGCATTCCGCGCCTCCTACGTCAGCTCCCGTTCTGCTTCTGGTGTTCAGTCTCCCATGCTCGGAGATTCGGTGAGTGTTCTCACATCTTGGTCATGGAATCCGCGTGCTGAAGTGTCACTTCGCAGCCTACCACCTACATGTCGTCTAGCATCTCACGCCTGTGCATCGACAACACGCCCCTGGGCTCTGCCTCGATGTTCTCTCCGGCCGCCATGTCCTACACGTTCTCGAGCCCATCAGCATCCTCCAGCAGTGCCTCCGATGGCATGCTGTCCACTCCGATGACGATCGCCCCATCCGTCCTCTCATCTCCCAACTCATGGGAATCGACTCCCTTCACGGACAGCCCCGCTCTCCCAGTGATCCTCGAGACCCCTCTGGAAGAACATTTCGACGAGGAGTCTGCTTCCCACTTCCTCAACGGCCCCGAGCTGCCCGAATCACAGCCTATGATCAGCCCTGTGCTGCCGCCGTCCCCTCGGGAGGAATCTGCTCCGATGTCCGTCGTCGATAGCCCCAAGCGTAAGCGTTCCTCACCCGCTCCAGCTAAGGAGGTCCCAGCCGCGCCCAAGTCTCCCTCTAAGGTCCGTGCTTCAGCTGCCGAGAAGCCCCGCTCGCGTGCGAAAACACCGAAAGCCACTGCTTCCCGCCCACAAAAGCCTCTCCCAGCACCGAAGAAGGTCAAGGCCAAACCCGCGACTCCTCCGGCGCCCAAGCGCGGTGTCTGCCCTCTCCCTGGACGCGTCGTCAAGTCATCCCGCCGTTCCACGTTCGCTAGCAGCTCTGCATCCGAGCCCATCTTCGCCCCTAAGTCACCGATCGCCAATCGTCGTCCCCTCCTCCTCTCGAACTCGCTCAGCTCTGACGAAGAGAGCGAGCACGAGCACATCCACGATGACTGCGATTCCGACTGCGATGATGCGAGCGAGTACGAGGCGGACCGCTCATCGGACGATGACGAGGAGTTCCGCCCCTACAAGCGCACCCGCAGCTCCTCATACGTCTCTCTACCCTCCGTTGACGACTCTTCGCGCACGCGCCGGAAGGCCCGCACGCAGAAGATTAACGCCGCGATGGGCTTGGGGTCTGCGCGGCGCAAGAGCTCCTCCTCCTCCTACTCGAAGCGGCGTAAGGGCAAGAAAGAGCTGGAGCCACGGACACCGTGCATCTTCTTCCACATCTGCGAGAAGGACTTTAGCCGGCACAGCGACATGGTGCGCCATGTCAACCATTCGTGCACAGGCAACCCCAACAAGCTGTTTGCCGTGTGCCCGGTATGCGACTACGTCGCATCGCGCAACGATGCGTCAATCCGGCATAAGGGCTCGGAGCACTGCAGACAACGCCTCAAGGCGAAGCTCGAACGCCTGGAACAAGAGGAGGCTGAGGCTGAGGCGGCCGAAGCAGCGGAAGAGGACGCCGATATGGCTATAGAGGCTGAGACTGCTGAGGCTGAGGCTGTGGACGAGCAATAGCTCGCTGTCTGGCTAGGGTCGTGTCACTGAGGCTCTGCGCTCGTGTTCACTCTGGTTTTGCTGCGTGCTCTCTTGCTCGGCTGCCAGTGGATGATCCTTGGTTCTAGTTTTTTATCTTCTCTCTCTCTCTTTTAATGTTGGTATTGTCTTTAGTCTGCGGTGCGGCTCTGCTCACGCCTGGACGTTCCCCTAACTTAACGCGGATGTCTCACGCATCTCGGCCTCTGTTTCTCTGCACATCGCTTCCTATCATCGCTATTCTCATCCACATACCCCCAGCCCCGATCATCTGTTCCTGTACAAAGTCTTGTCGCATCCGTGTACTTGTATCTGGGTCAATTCATTGGCTCTGTGGTCTGTGCTTCTCTCCTTCCCCCGACCGCGGTCGGACAATGACGCTCACGAAGTGTTCGCCGCGCCCCCGTTTGAATTCCTTCCGGACTAGTCCCACCAACACGAAGCTCGTCCCGGGCGGCCGCAAGTGAGATGTGCGCGGCTCATTTCGTCAATGCACGTCGCCAGCCGCTCCCATGGACCCACAATTCTGAGAGTGCCGGATCCGCCGCTTCCGGTGCACAGGGTATGTGCCACCCGCCCTACTTGCCCAAGCACGGCCATGCGTGCATTCCGAGCGCCTTGTGCGTGAACTTGAGGATCCTTGGCACATGGCCCATGTCATAACCGTGTGCCCGGGAATATATCGTCTTCTCTCTGTAGTCGCAATCGCTGTCGACGCGAGAATGAGTCCGATGATCGACTGACGGCGTCTTGGGAAAAGGGCGCACATCACAGGGCATACTTACCATGCACGCTCCCAGACCGTACTTGGTGCCGGCCTTCGGTACGTCCGACGCGGCTACCAACCCAAGGATGACGATGGGCCCGATATGTCGCAGAGCGTCGCAACATACGGTAGGTTTGTATTGCGATATCACACGAACTGTCCACTGCGGATAATCAGAGGAACACATCTGGAAGTTACGGCAGCCTGCCGTAGTAATAATGCATTATGAGGATCGAGACGCACCGTACGCACGCAACCCGTTGCCCAATGGCACCAGCGCCGTGTTCCTATGGCTTAGCGTTGAGAACAAAAGACCGTCCGAAGGCTCGAGATGCGAGCGGAGAATGAACAGACATCACAGCCGCATTGTATCGTCCTGCCAATCAAGGTAATTTCAGGCCTCCGAGCGAGCGGCGGCGTGGGGGCACTGATCCAGGTGGTGGTTTAGTGTTCTGTAAAGCATCGTGCCATGGGCCCATGGCCGTTTCTGTCAAGACCGAGTCAGGTGCGGCAGAACGCGCGGACGCAGATTGGCCACGTACGGCTAGCATGAGCAGGCACCACTGCTGTCTCCGTCTTCTGCGTCGTCGTCGAACTGATGCACGCGGGTGTAAATGTGCCTCAAGGCTGCTGGTCCACTTCATTATCGAGCACACATCAGAGGTCTCTGGCCTTGATCCTTCCGACATGTCTGTATCTGTGCGCTGCGCTTCGGAGGTCGGGCTGTATCGAGCGTCTGGTATTTCCCGTCATGTCAACGCGAGACAGGAGTGTCCGCGGATTTACGTTGTATCCAAACGCCTGGTTCAACGACTGTTTTGCAGCTCAGAATATCTCGATGTGCGAGTTAGATGCAAGAACCCCAAAACATGGCACATTGCTAAGGATTTGCCACCATCGGAGTGAATGATGTCCTCAAGGCACGACCGTCAGAGTAATTGAATATTTCACGCTTCACCTCATGGGCATCTTCAATAGGCGAGGTAAATTTGGAGAATTCTGTCTGTGTTGACGGGCCACGGCCACACATGATGGTTGTCGGTCAAGAAACCTCCGAGGGCGCCTAGAATCGGCGAGATTCAGCGTCAAACCGGGGGCGGGGACAGACGCCAGCGAGACCTCTCTCTCTCTTCCGCCGACGTTCTCATCGCCGCACCTCATGGCTAGCAGTCCTATTGAACGCTCGCCGCCTGCGACTTCTTCGGAGCAGGCTACGCCGAACATCGCCTCAGAGAGCCTTAGCGAACACTTGTCTTACCCCACATTGGCCGAACCCGCGGCGCCAGTGGCGTCTTCTTCGACGGCAACACAGGCGCGACCCCTCCTCAAGGATCGCTTATATGTTGGAAATCTTCATCCGAGTGTGGACGAGTGCGTGTCTGGAGCGTTTGCTGCTGCGAGCGTCGTGCTGGGTTCTGAGTGTGACGTCTTTGGTCAGATACACCCTACTCCAAGTATTCTCCAAGTTTGGGAAGATATCCAAGCTCGACTACCTCTTTCACAAGTCTGGTCCGCTGAGGGGAAAACCGAGGGGCTATGCTTTTGTGGAGTATGGAAGTAAAGACGTACGTTCTTACTCTAACTGTTCTCAGACACGCGCTGAACCCGGGTATCCTCTTTCATGGCACCGCATACAAATACGACGGCATGGCGTATCTCATACCCATGTGCAGTCGTTCCCGGGGTCAGCGGCGGTTGGGTAAAGTTGAATATACGCTCAAGCCACCGCTATCTGCTCTTTCTTAGGATGCGGAGAGGGCCCTCACGCATGCTCACGATAAGCTCTTGCGTGGCCGCAAACTCGTCGTAACCTATGCAAACCAAGCGCCGCTTGATTCAGCATCAGGAGCGTTCGGGACGGGGTCGAAGAACCGTAGGCCGATGAGCGAAGTTGGGAAACCCACCACGCTCAGCCTGCTGAAGAGCGCAGGAACAGGACGGGCCAACGCGTAAGTCTTCTGTCTACCTACCCCCTGGACCTGGGTTATTCTGTTCGTTACTATCGGACGAAGACTCAGCCACCACCTTCCCATCTACAGAACCGATGCCAAGATTGCGCGAATGGAGGCGAAACTAAGGCAGCTGGAGGGCGCTTCGACTGCATCGGCGGTCGGAAGCCTGCCAGGGCACCCGTCTCTTCCGCCGAAGCCTGTCGCAGCTGCGGCGGCTACCACCTCTAGTCCACGACTTACGCCCACACACGCAACTCCTGGCGCAGCGCCTGCTGCGAGGGAACGAAGGCATGCCCCACCCTTGCCGTCCTTGCCCATCATCCCATCCACACATCCCCCGAACAAGGTGGAGAAAGGTCTTCCCCTGGTGTCCTCCGCATCTCCTCCCATCCGCCCGTCTAACAAGAAGCATAGTCTTTCTGGCATCAGGATAGTGAAGAAGAATCCTGGATCGACTGGTTGACAGGTGTACGGTCTGATAGTCTTACATGTATCACGTATGTATTGGCATCCAAAGATCAAGAATGAAGTATTTCCGCGATACATAGGGGCTTAAGTGGACTCACTACATCCCTGGTAGTATATCGGTTAGTACACGCGCCTGTCATGTAAACTGACCGCGCGAAAGCGGGGTTCGACTCCCCGCCAGGGAGGTTGTTTCATCTTTTGGATGCTTTTTGTGCTCACTGGTCCGAGTTATCTCCTCTTTGAGCCTCCTTGCACGACAACGGTTATGATAAAACTCTTGGGGTACTTGATTTGAACTAATGTGCGCAATATATACACATGTGCGAGGTCGTCGAGATTGAAGTCATCCAAGAATGCAAAGAAACCCCCAATTCATAATAGAAATCGATCCATAACGTCTAGCATGGCCCGTTGTCGACCCAGACGCCAGCTACAGACGAATTGTCAACCCTAGTGTTAACATTATCTACAGAGTAAGCCCACATACCAGATCCACCGGGAATATCACCGAGGGTCCACCACGACGCTGTCCAGAGGTCGCCCTTGTAAGTCGCCTTCTGGCCGCCAGTGTAAGTCGTCTGCGAAGAGGCAGACTCGTCAGCAAACAGCCGCGAGGAAGAACGAGAGCTACTGCGAATACGTACAGTCGCACTCCATGCAGAGACAGTCGAGCACGCGCCGCTGCCACCGGTGGGAGTCGAAGTTGAGGTCGTCGTAGAGGTCGGAACAGTCGTCGTGGAGGTCGGGACTGACGTGCTGCTGGAGGATCCACCCTGGCCCATGTTGTTACGGATGTTGTCCCACTTGCTGTTGGGGTAGTTGATGTGATTCTGGGTCTGATCCAGGGAGCCGTACACGCCCGCGGTCGTGCCGACGAGAGAGTCAGAGCCGGACTTGTCGGTGGAGAGCTGCAAGTCGGCCAGATTGTGTCAGCCGAACCTGCGATCATGCATGCATGTCATTGGAAAGGCGGCGCTCAATACTCACGTCCCAGAACATGGAGCCAGAAAGACCGTTGGACTGGACATATTGGGCCTTGAGAGTGGCGATGTGGGGGGTATCGTACGAGACGAGCTCGCCCTTGGACGCATCATACGAGTAGCTCGAGATGTCCGTCAGGTTCTCGTAAACAGTTGCGCCTGCAATCGGGAGAGCCTTGTAGGAGTAGATGCCAGCCTCGATCGTGCCGGGACCGATCTGTGACGTCCGTCTTGATCAGTATTCTTTCGAGGCATATTCGCAAGAGCATGAACATACGCCGTTGTAGGGCGCGCCGATGCCGGTGGTGTCCTCGAACGCGCGGCCGTAGAGCGGGATACCCATGTTGATCTTGGACGCGGTCGCGCCGTGGGAGGTGTAGTACTTGACCGCCTTGTCGGTGGAGACGTTCGTGCGAGTGCCGCCGTACACATTAGCCTGGTTGTCGGCCTGGGCAGGATACGAGTTAGCCTCTTGCAGGTTCCTGCAAGCTGGAAGCAGGAGCTTACCCAAGTCAGCCAGGAGCCAGCGTAGTCGTAAGCCTGGATGCCAGAAGAAGGGTCTATCAGGAGCGCCGCGGCGTCGCACATGAGAATCCGCGCATACCATGAGGTTCCAGTAGTCAAGGGCGGCGTCCATCGTGGACATCTTGAGCCACTCGTAGTTGTCTGAGCCAGCGGGGACGGCCGCCTGCCAATCAAGGCGGATCAGCTTTGAGTACATTCCGCCCCAAGCGTCCCGAAATAGGTGCCGCCTGGCGGAGACGTACCGTGAGGAGGTAGGGCGTCGCATCGCCCTTCTGCTTCTGCAGGTTGGTGAACGCGGTGCGCAGCTCAGTGAGCAGGGAGGCGAAGCTAGAAGCCAGGGCGTCCGAGTTCGGGTACTCGAAGTCAATGTCGATACCATCGAAGCCGTAGTTCTCGATCAGGCTGACGGCGCCCGAAACGAATGTTGCACGCTTCGAGGCATCAGTGACGAAGTTGAAGTGGCCGGCCTGGGAGTACGTCCAGCCGCCGATGGAGAGCAAGACCTTGAGGTTCCTGCATATGGAAGAGACTGATTTAGCATCGGAGCACGCGGAGCTGCCGTGAGCTTATCCGACCTGTGGCTGAGCTTGAGGAGGTAGAGCTGGGTGCGGAGGCGGGGTATGAGCGTCTCGGACGATCTATCGCGGTGTCAGGGAAGGCTCGTACCTGCTTCAAGCAACCGTAGAGGTTGTTGCCCGGCTCGTCCCACGAGTCTCCGTCGAAGTGTTTCTGTGCGCACCTTCAGTCAGTCCATCTGCCCTGTCACATGCTGAGGCACAAGCTCACCTGCTCATCCGCGTACGAATCAGTAAGCGAGATGGCACCGGTGTCCGCAGAAACATCGGCAAATGAGTACAGGATGTGCGTCAATGGCGTCGGGTTGATGTCCGTCGGCTCTGCGGGGGAGAATAAGTGGGCATGTTTCCCAGGAGCGGCGGAGAGCAAACCCATCACTCACGGAAGTTGGCACCATAAATACCCCTGCGCCGCCAATGTAATCAGTAGGTAAGTCTGGGCCGTGATCGTTCCCGCGACGCACCAGTTCGTGAAGTACGCAGCCTGAACCTTCGTGTTCGCACGCTTGTGGATGACCTTAGTCTCCGCCTCTCCGGTGGCGAACTTCCTGGGCACATCCTTGTAGGCCGCAGGACGGTGCATAACCTGCGTCGCGTCGACGACAACCACAGCGGCCAAGGCGGCCACGGCGAGGAAGAGGATGCGCTTCAGTGTAGCCGACATAGCCATGATATCCGAGGAGGGTATGTGGAGTGTCGGTGCTGGGGGAGGGAGGAAGGCCTCTTTGTGGCGAGCGGTTCGGGTTCTTCTTACTCGAGGTACGCGGACCTTTTGTATCCCTCGAGAAGACGGTCCCGGGGCTCGGAAAGGGTCCCGCGGCGTGTAATGCGACCCAGAAACCTCCAAGAAGCGAGGAGCGTGCAAGAGGTAGCCCCAAGAGGGCCTGGGACGATATGATGCACCTGCAGAATCGCGATGCAGCAGATGCGTTCCATATGGTCGCTGTGGGTTTCCAGACGCCATACGCTTCTTTGGAATCCGCCCAATACGCGCTCCCGCACGCGAGAGCGCGCAGTGGTATCATGACCTGCGGTCCCAGATGGCTGTATGGTCGGCTGCTGAGGAAGGCCATGAGCCCGATATGCCTATCGGACAATGTGCCGGGGGCTAGTGTATATGCACCATGCTTGCTGCGTCGTCCCAGACCGGCATGTCAGAGCGTATTGGGCTTTGCCGCCGAGTGCCCATGCTGCAATGCAGTCACCGTAACTCGCGTTGGCGTGGTTACTGGGCACATTGTCGCGCCGCCTTGAGCGCCCGACAAGCCCAACTTGGTGTTGCGACGGTGCGCAGGAGGTGCTGGTACCCAGGCCAGACAGACCCAGTCGGGGAAATTGGATTAAGCACTTTGGGCGCGGAGCTGTGATTGAGGTGGTCAGCTTGTGCCTCGAGAACATGGGCAAGGTCATAAGCTTACTAGAATGATCAACTGATGCCGGGGACCATGTGGCATGTCGTCGTCGTGCATCAAGGTTGCTCAAAGGAGAAGAGAAGTGCGGGATGCCCAGAACTATAACCGTGCGGACTGCGCTCGTCTGCTGAGTCGCAGTCTTGTTGACATTCAATTCACCATCAGGGAACAACTGCAATGTGCTCTCGGGAGTCGGATAACGTGTTGCCTCGTCACTGGCATGGCTGCCGGAGTGCCCGGTTGCGCAGGTGGGATCGTCCAGCTGGTAAAGAGAAGTCACCGGGCTTATCGTACAACATGGGTCGATAAGATAGATGCGTGAGCGTGGCCATTCATTATGACAAGCTCAACTCAGAAGCTCACCGAGGTCCTCGCGAGCGATGTCGCCACATATGAATGCGGGCCCGACATGATACAATAGTATATTTGCAGAAGCATGTCGAGGATCGTGTACTTGCTCGAAACTTGCTGAGCGGGTACAGGAGAAGAGAGGTTGACCGTGGGGTGCGAACCTCACGCCAGCTCACCGGATGCGGATCAGTCACGGCCCGGATCGTTCGAAGCAAGGTTGTGCCAGTGTATCACTAACTGCTCCACGCACATCACTTTGTATGTGCGCAGGCATGACATGTGGGTCGCAATCCCGGACATACAACTCGAAGCATGAGAGTATAATGTTCAGCAACTTAACTAGGGCGTCATCGCCATCGCTAGACTCAGGCTGTACATGCGGACGACGTCACACGAGCACACTACTTGGATGGATATCTACACAACATGTTTGTCGAGACCAAAAACCAAAAAGTCATACAAAGCTTGGTATTAAGGGTAGCCTTCTGATATGTATAGGCGAACTGTGTGGAAAATAAAGCAAGCAAATGACGATGGACTGGACTGGACTGTGGTGTGGATGATGGTGATAGTACTTGGGGCGTTGTGTTCAGGAGACTGGCGAGCATGCGACGACGTGTGACGGGTTATGGCGATTATATAGGCGATGCAGACGAGCGAGAGTGACATAAGAAAATGCAGCAAACTGACAAAACGACAACAGTGTACGAGCGCAATAGTACTAGACGACGTGATGGGATTCGGCGACGGAGGGGACGGTATGTCTGAGGAGCGGATGGATGAGACGGGAAGCGACGATGTTGGGAATGAGGTCGAGCGGAGCAGAGGAGAGGAGAGAACGAAACCAGGGAGGAGTGCCGAGGAGGGGTAACGACGAGCGAGAGCTCGCGACATGGGAGGGGTGATGGGAAGGGGAAAGCATCGGGGGGAATAAACTAGCATCGAAAGGAGACAGGCTGTGTACCGTATAAGTCCATTTCTGCATCATCCTTGCAGCCTTGAGGGCACTTGTTGCCCATGTGCTTCACGCCGAGGCGTTGTATAGAACAATGTGGTCTCCTTGAGAGATCGCCAATTCGAGGCCGGTGCCATCTGCACCGTTGCTGTAGGCTGTTCACCAAGCGTATGTGTCAGACATGTGCCCCGCGAAGCTTGTGCCGATGTATGACGTATGTCCGCAGGACGATGCGTACCTGATTCTTTTGCGCTTCCCGCCAGATTCCAGTCCACGCCTCAATCTCTAGACGTCGTCCTCGTCATGCACTATACGTCGACATACATAAGTATTGGCTCGCCCACGCCGTCGATCTCTGGAATGACGCATTTCAGGTCAAACGCCTTC